CTTTCTCGCCAAGCGAGTATTATCTTCGGAGAAAACAATATGAGGGGATTCCTCAATAGTCAAAGTACGTTTATTAAATACTCTATAGGCCTTGCTGCGAAGAGAATAACCAAGAAAAATCCCTTCGTCCGACTTGGCATCAAATTTTCCCAAGTTATCTTTGCCGTTGTTATGAATAAAACATTTGCAACCAAAGACTCGAAGATGGGAAAGGTTTGGCTTTCTCCCTTTGTATAGTTCATAGGGCGTTTTCATGAGTATCGGTCGAATGACGGCTCGGTTTAACACGTAGCTCGCGGTACTCACGGCATCTGCCCAAAAATACTTAGGGATTTTTTCCTCATTGATCATAGTTCTAGCCATCTCTTCGAGACATCTATTCTTACGTTCCACCACTCCGTTTTGTTGTGGTGTACGTGGGGCTAAGAAGTTATGATCAATGCCAAGTTCGTCACACAAATCTGAAAACAGATTTCGTTCGAACTCTCCCCCATGGTCGCTTCTTATGGCTACTATGGTTGTCTCTTTCTCATTTTGAACTTTCTTTAGAAAATTTTTGAAAACATGAAATGCTTCACTTTTATGAGTAAGAAACAAGGTCCATGTAAACCTAGAGTAGTCATCGACAATCACTAACACAAAGTAATTTCCACCAAAACTTTTCGTTCTAGAAGGACCAAAGAGATCCATGTGCAAAAGTTGAAGCGGTCTAGACGTTGAAACAACGTTCTTAGATTTAAACGAAGCCCGAACTTGCTTCCCCTTTTGACATGCATCACATATGGCGTCTTTTTCAAACTTAAGTTTTGGAATGCCAATTACTAAGTCTTGAGAAACCAATTTGTTCAAAAGGTTCATGTTCATATGAGCTACCCTTCGGTGCCATAACCAAGTGTCTTCCTCTTTACTCATGAGGCATTTAGCAAAGTCGGAAGGAGATTTGTCTAAGTTAACCATATAAATGTTATCGATTCTATCACCACGTAGAATGACCTTATTATCACTAAGGCGTTCTACCGTGCATGATTTTGAATCGAAGGTCACACGGTTTCCCTTGTCACATAATTGACTTATGCTCAAGAGATTGTGTTTAAGACCCTTAACAAGCAAGACATTATCTATAGAGGTGTTTTCAGATTTACCTACTGAACCAACGCCGATAATTTTTCCCTTGCTATTGTCTCCAAAAACTATGTTTCCTCCTTTAGCGGGTTTGATTTGGAGAAACTTGGATGCATCCCCAGTCATGTGCTTGGAGCATCCGCTATCAAGGTACCAAAGTACACTTGATGCCTTCAAGCACACCTATAAAACACATCAATGAGTTTTAGGTACCCAATTTACGTTGGGTCCTCGGGTGTTAGGTGTGTGATGGTAGTGTGCTTGATTTTGTGACAAGTGCCTATGCCTAGTGTAACAAATGGGAGCAATATGGCCTATCCTATTACAGTAATGGCAAACTACATTGGGGTTGTACATGTGCCTAGGTTCATAATAGTTAGAAGGTTTAACCATTTTGTTCCTATTTTGTGAAAATGATGGTTTTTGGAAATTTTGAAACTGGCCTCTTCTAGGTATTCTAGCATTATTTCTTCTTATTTGAGAAAATTCATTTTTATGCACAAAATCATTTTTCTTAGGTTGTCTACCATGACCGTTTTCATTCCTAGGTTTTAGTCTAGGTTGTCTAGTGTCCTTAGGTTGACTAGGTTTTCTATTATCTTGATTTTTAGGTTTCTTATGTTGAGCCTTAGATGATTGTCTAGGTGGTGGCTCAACATTATCTTTAGCTTTATTTTTATCAAAACCTATTCCTTCCTTAGAAAAATGCATAGTGTCAAGAAGTAAATTTAAGTCTTTATGAGGAGTATTAAATTNGAAAATTCATTTTTATGCACAAAATCATTTTTCTTAGGTTGTCTACCATGACCGTTTTCATTCCTAGGTTTTAGTCTAGGTTGTCTAGTGTCCTTAGGTTGACTAGGTTTTCTATTATCTTGATTTTTAGGTTTCTTATGTTGAGCCTTAGATGATTGTCTAGGTGGTGGCTCAACATTATCTTTAGCTTTATTTTTATCAAAACCTATTCCTTCCTTAGAAAAATGCATGGTGTCAAGAAGTAAATTTAAGTCTTTATGAGGAGTATTAAATTTCTTGACCGTGCTCTCAAGTTTAGCGACTTGCTCTTTTAAAGAATTGCAAGACCCACATTCACTTGATGAGCTTTCTGGTTTGTCAGCGCTTCTTTTTCTGAAAAACTTGTTTTCTTGTTTAAGTGTTTCATTTTCTTTTTCCAATTTTTCAAAATCGTTTTCAAGTAAAGAAAGTCGTTTCTTCAAAGATTTATTTGTTTTAGAAGCGCTAACAAATTCCTCATACAGTTCATGAAGTGCTTCTTGCATTTCTTCAAAAGTGTAAGAGTCGGAAGAAATGTTACATACCTCTTGAATGTCGTTGCTTTGATCTTCGTGTGCCATGAGGCAGAGATTTGCAGCTTTGTCCTCCTCTTGGTCGGTTGATTCGTCGCCGGAATCGCCACCCCAAGAGATGTAGGCCCTTTGCTTCTTGAAGCCAGGCTTGTCCTTACCGTGTTTGGCCTTTGGACACCTTGGCTTGATGTGCCCAATCTCGCCACAGCCGTAGCATTTGGGAGGACCGTCGTGCTTCCTTCCCTTCCGCTCAAATTCCTTCTTCATGAACTTGTGAAACTTCTTGATGACGAGCCCGAATTCATTGTTGTCATCGCTTGAAGCCTCTTCCACAGGTTCCTTGGTGGCTTTGAGAGCTATCCCCTTTTTCTTTTGTTCATCCAAAGACGGGGTTAGAATAGTAGATTCATAGGTTTTAAGGTTACCTCTTAGCCCGTCGATGGTGACGTTGGAGACTCCGACGGATTCGTAGATTGCATCGGCTTTTGACCTCCAT